TAAAAATATCTTGGTAGTAAAACATTTTAAAGGGAGTGGATTTGAGGACATAAAAATACCATAAGAATCAGGAGAATGGGCCTCCCCAGTGGAGCAGCAGGTTGAGCACAGCAGCTGGCCAGGGAGATTCCCACATGGCACGGCAGACCTCTCCTGTCGCACCCACTGCTCCCCTCAGCAGTGTATTTCAGTCGACTGCCTGTTCTGCTCCCTGCTCTGTCTTTGGTGAGTCCTCGCACCCTCCTACGCCTCTGGCCTGTACCCCAGCTCTTATATAAAAATAAATAAAAATCTTTAAAAAAAAAAAAAAATCAGGAGAGTGATTACTCTAAGGGATTGGGAGTGATTACCTCTAAGGACTCTGAAACCATTTATGTTTGCAGTGTCACTTGGACTGCATGTGAAATAGCACAAGGAAAGCATGGGGAGTAGGGACTAAATCATGGAAGGATTTGAACGTCCTGTCTGTGAGCTTGAACTTTGCAGATAGTCGGGAGCCACTGAAAGGTGGCTGAGCAGGGTGTTGAAATTACAGGGTATGTCTGCTAGGAAGATCCGCTCCTGGACGGAGCCTTCAGGAGGCATTGGCAGTGGCCCAGTGAAGCAGAATAAGAGACCTGAACGAGACCAGGGTCATAGCACAGAAAGAAGAGGGTGTGTTTGACAGCTCTTATGGAGATTGACAGGTAATTTGGTGACTGATGAAATGTGAGGTATTGACTGAGAATAATGGTGCCAGAAACAGAAGGGGGGAATCAGTGTGGGCCTGAGAGGCATTAAGTGGTGATGTACTGAGTTTGCGGTGGGAGGCTTTCTGCTCAGGCAGCTCAGGAGAGCTGTTGAAAAATTAGTTTCTTCAGAGACTCAATGTTCTGAGAGAAAGTTTGGAACTGTTTTTCCAAGCTCATGTTAATAACATAATTGTTCTTGACAATCCGATGACTTAATGTAGCTTTTGTCTTGTGGTGACCTTTATGTGGTCCATTGCAGGTAACTTTAGTCCTTGGTAGTTGGCAATAAACCAAAGATGTTGGTTGAGGAAATGCAGATAGTCCACAGAAAAATATTACTGTTGATATTGAAAATAGGGTGGGGTGGGTGGAGAGGGTGATCTTAGGTTTATTCTCAAGTTGCAGTGAGGAAGCTGAGTTATTGGGCTGCTGGCCAAAAGGCTTGCCTCCCTTGCCATGGGCTGGATTGACAGCAAGCCCAGACATGTGAGTTCATCCTGGGATTTGACACTCCTACTGAATGTTGGCAAGAGGCCTGACTGACAGGCTAACCTATGTGGGTACCAAGGTGGTTCTCAGGTGAACCACCTGAGTGTCTGTACTTGCTAGAAAGACTTTTGGCCAGAATAAAAAGTCACTTAGTGATGAGTTTTGGAACCTCTTATATAAGAGGCCTGGTTTACTGAAGTGGCTCCAGAAAGACTTTGTAAATTATAAGATAGACAATTATTGGTAATTGAGCGGTGCTTATGGCTAGCCTGTTTCAGATCAAATTAATGTTACACTTGGATTTTCTAATCAGCTTGAAGTTTGGTTTGGGACTTCAGATATAATCAGTGGCTACAATAGGGAAATGCTCACCTTTTAGTACGCAGAATTTGTTACAGATTTATAGTTGTGTCTTTGCTTATGGCATTTTCAGGTATGTTAGTATATTTTTCATTCTAAATCCTAAATAACAAAGCTTAATTCCACTGAAAATGTCTGCTGCTGAGTCATCTGTTAATTTAATGTGATTTCAGTTCCAGTATATTTTTGGTTAATATTAACAATGTATTGCACAAAAGAGATTTATAAAACTATTTCATACACTTTGAGACTGACTTTGACTTTATAAAAATAATTACATTAAAATTCTGATTTTGAAAAAAACAAAACTAAATTTTCAGCCTACCTAAGCATTTTGTTTTAGATATATTTAAGACATTTGTGTTTATTTCAAACACATTAGTAGAATTTGCTTGACTACTTCTTAGTTTGAATGATTTTTTTCTATCAGTAGTTCAGGATCTCTGAGCTTACTGGAAGATTTAAAAATTACTCTTAGTGTTAAGACAATTTAAAATCATGCCTTGATTTTTATATTGAAGATGCTACAAGAGATGAAACTGGAGTTTATTTCTAATAGTCTTGGATCAACCTATCCAGACTTCCCTTGAGGATTTTTGTTGTCATCAGCTACAGCTTTAAAATAGGCAGGTGGATTCAGGGTGTTGATTCAAACCCTGCTGGAACAAAATTGCTTGAATTTATGTGCCATCTGTTTAACACACAAACAGTTCCTGAATTTTTCTCAGGTAAAACTCTACAGTTATTAGTGTCTGAAGATGCATTTTCGTCTTGTTCATCTGAACTCTCACCTCATGGTTTGGGACATCTCCCTTTGTTTCTCTTTAGATTGGCAGTTTTTCTGTTTCTAGGGTTCTGTTTAAAAACTCCCAGCTCTGCGCCTAAATTGTGTCACCTGTGAGATGACAGCACAAAGCAGGCAGCAAGGCTGTTTGTTTCAGTTCTCTCTTTTGGAGACGATGAAAACTGTGACTATTTGGCAGAGTTAGATTGCAGGATCGCTTGATAGTTTCCAAATGGGTTAGTGTAGCCCAGGGACCTTACTTGAGTTCTGGTAATGACAGCTTTACTATCAGACTTTCCTTAGGGTATAGCTCCTGAGAGGAAAAAGCCTCTTAAAATTTAGAGTTCTTATTATTTTAGTTTTCCCTGTATTCTTAAAAAAAAAAATACCTAATAGGAATTTGATGGTATGAGACCTTCTGTCTAAATATGAGTATTTTCCTTAAACCAATGAGAGCCTTACCTTTTCTTAGATTAATATTCTGTGACAAATGCTGTTTGGTGTGGTAGTGGGGGTGGTTAAGAGATTTTTCAGCGTTATATTGCTTCCTTTGCCATTTTAATGTACCCCAGGGCAGAAGTATAGTGTTTAAAAAAAGGAGGGGGGAGGACTTTCAAATAAAAATGGCAGCTATTGAAAATATATTGTAGGAACACACAGCTGCTGTTGGAAGAAAAAAAAAAAGCAGACTGTTGCAAGTAGTTTATAAGGTTTTAAGACCAAAGTAATTTTTCTAAAGTTTAAACTTACTGTTCATAAACTATTTGAGGACAAGGATAATATCTTAGCTACAGATTTCACCTACTTCTAACGTATGTTACCTACACTGGGAAGACACATAACAAATGTTAAAGTGTTAGGTGAAGATACACATGTTTTGCTGTGATTTCCTTATAAATGGTATTTGTTCATGGGATTCTTCTGTCTCTGAAATGCCAGCCAAGGTCTCTTCTCTATCTATTCCCCTTAGTTCTTTTAATTATGGCTTGGTCTTGCAGAACCTGAGTTTTAAAGAGCTAGCTAAAAATAGACTTGTCACGGTAAGCACCTCCTCACATCTACTTTTTTTCTTCCTGGAGCCCTGTGAAGTTGACCAGCTTTTTTTTGGAGTTGCACATCAAAAACAGTTGGAGGAAGAACAACATCTGTTGAGTCAACTTTTCCAGTGAGATTGGGCACATTCGGGGTGGTGTGGCTGTATATTCCAGTGTTACTTTCAAAGCAGTGGAAATTGTGTCAAATGTGGAGAGGGTTAGGTGTGACTGTTCTTGAGGTCTATCAAGCCCAGTTAAGCTTTTCCACTGGCCATTGCACCCTATGCAGGTCTAGAAAGAGACAGCATCCCCCTGGCCTGCACGCATGGCTTGCTTGCTTTGTTTAATCATTTGATTTTTCCAAATCTCACAGTTACAATGGCCACTACTAGTAGGTAGAGGAGTCTGAAGTCAACCCCCTTAGGTTTGCTCAGTGTCCGGTGGGAGAGCATGGGCTTTGGGTTGAGAGCAGGATATGAGTGCCGTGATCTGCTACTTTCTAGGTGCATTTACCTTTGTCCTGAAACCTATTATGTTACATAAAATGGAAGTGATCCTGTCTGCCTAACACATGTGAAGAACTTGGTAAGCAGTATCTGCATGAAGAAATGGTTTTGAAAGTAAATTGGGGTTCATCTTGAACCCCCAAATAAAACTATTATATGCTTCATTGTTTTCAGTAGATTTTATTTGACCTCCCCATGGTTCTGAAAATATTAGATCCTGAGACTGTCTTTCCCTTCAACCTCTACTGTGGATCAACAGAAGCCCCCAACTAAGTGCTAGAAATAATGGGTAGCTTTTAATGTGAACCCCAGGTGTCGTGTGTTTATTGGAGTTACTTTATTTACTTTTGATTGCGAAGGTTGCAGTACATTAAAAAAACTTTTTGTCTTGCAGTGGCACCATAACCTTATCTTTTAATTGCTTAAGAAACTTCCCCCCCGCCTTTGATTTTTAGGAAAAATGTAGGAAGTATAATGTACAATCTCATTATAGAAAGATAATTGTACTGATTTTTGCCAAAGCATGCTTACTAATACAGTGGGAAATAACATTCAGAATAACTTACTAAGTATGATTTGTAATGGTAACATTTCTTCTCTTGCTACACACATTATGTAAATTTGAATAAACTATCATTCATTTAATAAAAACTGACAGTATGAAAATTTATTTTATTAATTGTGATTCCCATGGAATATAACTTAAAAAATACCGAAGAATAGTTGTTGAAGTTAAGTTTTCTTGTCTCATTTCCTAGCCTCCTAGTTTCTCCCTACAGGGATAACCACTTATATTTTTAAAAAACTGAAATCTGTGTTTAGTTATGGTTTGAACCCGTATGTATTTCCCCTATCATTTCTCAGCCTCTTGGCTAAGAAAGATCAACTGCCTATGAACCTGCACAGTAAATTTTGTTTACAAATTTCAGGAACAGGTTATTAGGTATACATCTGGATAAATGAGCAAAAAGTGAGTACGTAACTTCTGGGATGATGTCTCTTAAGTTAATTTTGTCTCTTATTTGGCTTTTGGAGCCAATATTCCTATAGCCTTTGAATGTCTTGATTGTCGCATCTGTGTTTTTTTATTTTCCAGTTGCAGCATGAGAAAGCCGAACTAGAGCAACATCTCGAACAGGAGCAGGAATTCCAGGTCAACAAACTGATGAAGAAAATTAAAAAACTGGAAAATGATACGATTTCTAAGCAGCTAACATTAGAGCAAGTAAGAATCTGTAGCTCCCCGTATGGATAAGTTTTCCCCGTTATCATCAATGTGTTCTTTTAAGTTTTAAGATGCCTCAAGGAATATGAGTGAAAAATGTTCTTTATCTTTTTCTTCCTGCAATGGGACTTCATTTCCAAAGCAAGCATTGACGGGTCTGCATAGCACCTGCTCACTCTCTCATGCACTTTTTTTTTAGTCACAATCAATCATGTTTCAGGAGATAAGTTGTGATAGTACTGATTTATGGGCAGGAAATGTTAGGTTTCTTTTGCATAGGGGCAAGAATGTGATTTTACCCACAGTAGAGTTTCTGTGAAAGTTCCTGAAACTGTTGCTGTGGGACTAGAACTTTTCTTTTAGGGATTTTTCAAAACAGTAATTGATATTTTTATTCTTTGAATTATTAGCAATAGTATTTGCAACCTATCTTTTCTCGGCTAGGTTTTTGAGACTGATGTAAAGTCACAGGCTTGGTTGTATATCTTGGTTCAACCACTAACTAGTGGTATGACCTTGAATTAACTTTATTAATTTCTCTGGGCCCAAGTTTACCATATGTAAACAAAGATGAACCAACTAAAATCAGCAACAGCAAGCTTTTTAAAAACACAAGTTTTTTAAAAGGTAGAAAGAATTAACACAATATGTTTCTGTTTTCCTTGTTATTTGATCGTAGTTCTTGCCTTTGGGAGTCCAGGCTGGTCTTTTTATGCATTTGACACATAATCTTGGGCAGCAGTTATTAATCTGTTTAAGTTGGTATGCCAGGCAGAAACACCTGTTATCCCTGGCCAAGGTGCTCCCTGATACGTTTATCCAACTCTTGTGCCCTGAAATACTATTTTCCATGAGATAAATTATAAGGGCTGATCACAGTGTACTGCTACCTGGTTTCTATGTAAAATCCATTATATTGATTAAGATCACCTAGCTTTTTGTGATTTGGATTCAGATTGCTATTTTAGTGGTTTTGATTTATTCCAACTTTTGGATCTTTCTCCACATATCAGTGCATGCTGAAAGGTTCTTATATCATCCTTAGGACCACTTTAATTCCATCATTATACCTGAGAATGAAACCTTGATGGGAATGTCAGGTTTGAGAGGAAACCAGGGTTCATTTTAAACTGATCTAACAGACTTTCAATTTACATGTCAATTTTGTATATACCTATGTCAATGGAAAATGTTACCTGTTTTCCTAGACTGATAATGACCCTAAAATGATTTTTCCATACCTTCCAGGGAATGAAAAAAGTTTTATTTCCAGGGCTAGCTATTTTATTTATTTATACACACACACACACACACACACACACACACACATTTGTGTATGTATATATAAAACATTATTTTTATATATACATATCTGCATATATACCTCCAGAATAGTCTTACCATTCATTCATCTTCAGAATTCAGATGCAATATTTTAATTTAGGAGATTTCTTCTCCCTCCACATCTTAAAAATACATAATTCTGAGGTTCTGATTAATTCCCATGATGGGCAATAGTTTCCTTTCTGTTCAAGTTAAAGCTTTGAAGATTCTTGTTTTAGTCCCTTACATACCAAGTAGTTATTATTGGTACTTGTTAATTGATAGTTAACCCAGGTAACGAAGGGAAATTCTCACAGCAGTTGCTATCGTGAGAACTTCACTAGGTTATGATATTCAAGGTGAAGGCTGTTAATAATTTCAACAACTCTTGCATTTTTCTCAGTCTCTTAAGGAAACTTTTTGGGTTGTGACTGTGACCCTCAGGGTTTAGCTCTGGCCACAAGGTGGAGGTAGTGACCTAACATCAGAGAGAGAAGGGCAGAGTGCCCCTATAGTCCCAAGGAGAGAGGATGGGATTGTTGCTGATTTTAACTTTAAACTCTGAGGAGTTTCTTAGAGGGAGACCTAGGAATACATTCTCTGTACTACGTTAACAACTTAGTACACTTTTTTAGGCTTATTTCAAATCTCAATAGTAAAGAAATGGATTTCCACAATATAATGTGCATTGCTAAACTTTATATTAGAATAATTTAGAACACCAAGTCCCTATTTTAATTAAAATGGAGAAATTTAACATCATAAAAATTTCCCTCTTGGTTTTAGGTATGTCGGGAATGATGAAGTGTTGGGGATTTGACTTTTATTTTGCTTAGCTACAAGTCATTTAGTCAGTGTTTCGAGGAAATATCATGATTTTCCTCCAGTAGAAGTTTCATGGATGTGATCTGACCCTCTCTTGCAGTTATTTCTTGGGATCATCATCTGTATTGTATACTACATGTCATAGCCTATGTTACAAATATATCCTATGCTACAGGATATGATCAGAAGAGCAAAGGTATGCACTACTCTGAGCACTGACAGGATTTCTTTGCTTTTCTGTCTGACAATAAGCATATCTTTTAGTTTATAAGCTATTTAGAGGCATTCATCCTATGTGTCTCATGCCCTACCACTGCTTTGTTAGAAGAGTTTAAGTGTGGATTTGAACAAGTGACTGGACAGTGGTTGTATGTCTTTTGGAAGATTTCCAAGTGCAGTGTTCATGGCCAGGGCACTGGACTTGACAGGAACCAGATATAGACCTAAACCTATTTCTTCTGCTTAATACCTTAGTTCCCCCACCCCCCACCACCTTTTTTTTTTTTGGTAGCAGCTATGCTGAGATAGCGTTTACATGCCATACAAATCACCCAATTAAAATGTATAATTCAGTGGGTTTTTAGTGTAGTCAGACTTGTGTAACCATAACCACAGTCAGTTTTAGAATGTTTTTGTGACCTCAAAAAGACACCCAAAGAGAGATCAAGAGGCTTTCCTCCCCTCCTAGAACTAATGAGTTCTTAGTCATTTATTTTAGAAAATCCTTTTGGCTTTTATTTAGTGTTCCAAATGCTTAACTCCAAAAGACAATTTACAAGCAGATGCAAAAACATCACATTCAAAATAATGTAAAATTGTGAGGTCTTTGTAGTACTAATAGTTAGTATTAGTCTAATTAATGTGACGTTAGTGCCATCAGGGACACTTTTTAACAGCACTGGTCACCACTGCATGAAAACCTTTATTTGAAGATTTTTGTTCCTTCGTAGTCACTATTAGCCTCTTTCTTGGTACTCACATTTACTTAGGTGACAGTAAAAACATTTCAAAGTTGGAAAATTCTCCCAGTATCAAGATTGTTTTCTGCCAACCAGGAAGGACTTTCTCTGGAGGGAAAAAACTAGCATTAAAAGGCAACATTAGCTTCTTTCTTTCTTTCTTTTTTTTTTTTAAAGATTATTTATGCATACAAGAACTGGGGTACAGGCCAGAGGTGTGGAGGGTGAGAGGATTCACCAGAGACAGAGCGGGGAACAGAACAGACAGACTGACCGAAACACCCTGCTGAGGGGAGCAGCGGGTGAAACAGGAGAGGTCTGCTGTGCCATGTGTGTATCTCCCTGGCTGGCCAGGGATCAAATCCATACTGCAGAGAGCTTCATAATGCCGTGCATAATCCCCAACAGGAAGGCCTTCTATGGATTTGTCTCCAAAAATTATCTTATGGGGAAAAAATTAGCAGTTCTAGACAGGTGAACTAGATACTTACCATTGAGAAGTGTACTAGAAAAATTGTGGAATGAGTTAGTGGAGTCTTAGTCATGTAATTGAGCTATCTCATTCGATGAATAGGATTGCCTGTCATGGTCCAGTCTTTACTTCTGTAGTTGGCCCAAAGTAGTGTTCTCAGTTATTTCTGGAATTTGGAGTATATTATCTGACGTATCCTTTTCCTCCCAGAGCACAGAAACTCACATCTAAGGGTTGGAAGGCAATTTCATTCACTAGCATCCAGGTGTACCTCAGCTCATCTAGTTTAGGGAGGATTTATCCAGGATTCAAATCTCCCTACCATGTGATAAATTGTGTCATCTCAAGCAAGCAGTTTTATGAAATAGCTATAATGAAATATGAAATAGCTGTAATATCCAATTCTAGGTTTGTTGGGAAAATTTATGTTCCATGCCACCTCCCCTCACACCCCATGCCTGTTGAAGTTCTTTGGTCCATCTGATGCAGAATTGTTCCCATGTGGGCTACCTGGCACAAAATAAGTTTACATGGACATCCACTACATGAATGTTTTTATAACTATATTATTTACCTAGAAATTCAATAGGCCATTATTTATATAAGATGAAGAAAATATAATTTGGGGACCAGAAGTTCGGGCCAAAATGAAGTGATTTTTTTCCTGCAGCTGTGTCTGGCCCAATTTTAAAATGACTCTGCTTTAGTTTTTAATGCCTGGGACAAGTTTGATAAAATAATGCTTACATCTTTTGCGCTGATTTTCTGTTCAGTCCTATTTCATATTCAGCAAAATGTAGGTCATAACCAACTGAATTAATTTCACAATCCAGTAATAACGCATGACCTGCAGTTAGGAAACTATGCTCTGATGTGCCCAGTGCTTTCCTTCCCCTGGATCTACTTGGATCTTCTTCCACGTGGTGGACCATAGTCTACCTTCCCTTTCCACCCCTGTTCACATCTTACCAGCTTTCCTCTGCCAGAGATCTGTGATATAAAGTATTGGCAAAATGTTCAGTCCTCCTCTTAATTTCACTGGTATACACACAGCAGTTAACAAATGACTGAACGGTTTCTTCTCTGTACATTCCCTAAAAGGAAAAGGAGGCAGGGACAGTGTTGACGTTATCACATCTCCCTGGTGACTTACTTCTAGTAAGCTCTCCAAAAACTAGCTGCTGCCATTAATAATGAAAGTTTCCTTCTAATTTCTATGGCACTTCGCCCTCTCCATTTTCCAAGAAAGTGGACTTACGCATTATTTGCATCTTATATGTCTTACTACCTCTCTTGACATAGTAATCTGTCTCTTAATTTATGAAACAATGTGTGCTCATTGTGACCTTTTGACTTTACTGCCCAAGTTTGAGTTGATACACTTTGTGACATACATCTTACATTAATGCAAAACAACTTTG